TCCAGTTGGCAGCAGAGGATAGGACCCAGCTAGATATGAGGGAAAACCCTTTCACAGTCAGAGTGGTTCAAAGGTGGAATCAGTTGCCTAAGGAGGTGGTTAGCTCTCCTTCACTGACAGCTTTCAAGAAGAGGCTGGATGAATATTTGTCAGAGATGCTTTAGGCTGGTCCTGCATTGGGCAGGGGGTTGGACTAGATGGTCTGTATGGCCCCTTCCAACTCTATGATTCTGTCTCTAGGCAGTATCACTTTAGGAGGAGGAGGAGGAGGAAAAGATTAGATTTATACCCCGCCCTTCACTACCCAAAGGAGTCTCAGAGCGGCTGACAAACTCCTTTCCCTTCCCCTCCCCACAACAGACACCCTGTGAGGTAGGTGGGGCTGAGAGAGCTCTGACAGAAACTGCTCTTTTTCAAGAACAGCTGTGCCAGAACTACAGCTTGCCCAAGGTCATCCAGCCAGGTGCAAGTGGAGGAGTGGGGAATCAAACCCGGTTCTCCCAGATTAGAGTCCGTGCACTTAACCGCTACACCAAACTGGCTCTCTTTCAAAGTACTCAACTGATCAAATAATGGCTATTATCTTACCCGAGGCTAAGCCCAGCAGGGCCACTAACACCTGGGATCCATTTGCCTCCCACATTTCTCTCTCTCTCTGCTTCTTCAAGTGCCCCCGTCCTCAGCTGCCTTGTTTCTTGTCTAATGTGAGGAAAACCAGTGACTGAGGCTGGATGCTGGCAGAGCTCAGAGCTGTCTGAGTAACACCGTGATCAGGGAACACGCATTTCGGAAGTAAAACAGCATGACTGTTACTAGCCAAGGAAAGCAAAGGACACTCTTATCAACAACAAGAGAAAGAATGTTAACATTAGGGCAAGCCAACAAGAAGCCTGCAAAGATAAAGGATTTGAGAAGTCAGTCACAACACTACCAAAGTGGCTTATCTAAAAATTCCACAGCCTGCTTTAGTGCAGCCTACAAAGCGGCAAGGTCTTTTTCACACAGGGGTGCCCCTCCCCAAATGTACTCCCAGTAACTTCAGCCATGGTGCACCAGGACATCCTCTGTGCAAGCCCCATCAACACAAGGCAGGAACTGTGAAAAGGCATGTTTTATATGATCCAAACCACTGGGGTTATCTGGCCCCGCATTATCTACTGTGACTGGCGGGGGCAGCAACTCTCCAAGGTCTCAGGCAGAGGCCGTTCCCAGCTGTCACTGGCTTACAGCCTTTCTAAAACAGAGATGGAAAGGATTTAGGGACTCTTCTGGAGGGAAAGATGTGTTCTACCACACCCTTGTCCCCTTATCTACGTTCCAGGGTAAGCTACTGGGGAAGCCACACTACCCAGGTCTTCTGCTTATTTCCTTTCTCCATGTCTGACCAAATTCAAAATTTTTGCAATAACACACATCTGTACTACAGGCAAGCATCTTGTATATCCCAGATAAAACACCAAGGATGTGCCAAGGCTCTGAACAGACATCCCACCTATTTGAAAGGCACCGTAGAAAAACAGAACCCTATTTAGACTTCCGGTTCTGCCAATGTTACTTAGCCTCAACTCAAATGCTGGAAACACTCCAGCAGCTGAACACCTGTGACAGTTCAAGTGCTTCTTCATCGACCTAAAATGGGGCATAACAGAACCATTTCACTTGGCACTCAGAGATAGGTCTCCACCCAAGCAACCAAGCCACTTGCAGCACCGCTAGGGCCAGTGATGTGATAGAAGCCACAGAATCAGGGGTCATTTCGTAGAAAAAGAGCTAGGGGAACTCATTAGCATAACTCATTAGCATATGCCACACCCCCTGACATCAGGGGCCTGGCGGTGGACCTGCAAGGCCTGCGGGAGTGTGAGGAAGCCCCGCCAAGGCCCTCCCTGACCCCAGGCAGGCAGGGGTGGGGAGAGGTGGGGAGGAAGCAACTTACCCTCCCTCTTCTCCTGCCTCCTCCTGGCTGAATGAGGGCCGGAAGCGGGGCGGCTGGAAGCAGGGGGCAGGGCTTCGTTGTGTGCCCCGCCCCTCACCCGGGGGAACTGCGTTCCCCCACGATCCCCCCCGAAATGACCTCTGCACAGAATGCTTGTCACCATCCCTTCCCACACCAGGAGCCACAAGCCAAGTCCAAGGCAAATCCCTGAGATACTGGCAGAGCCACTAGAACTTGACTTGCTTCATGCATAACCCTCATCCCCCCATTTTTTTGCCAACACATCACCATCTTCACAAGCAGATGGTGATTTTTTTCAGCACTTGGGCCAAAAAAGGTTGTCTACCCCTGGCCAAAAACATAGAAACTTGGGGGGGGGGGATCTTTAGAAGAAGCAGCCTTTTCCTTTGCATTCTAGGAAGAATCAGAAAGGACCAAAAGGCTAACTAGAACAAACCTTCTCCAAGGAAAAATTATGTCCCACCAACACAACCTCTTTTCCCACGACTAACTCCCATAATGCATAGTGCATGTCTCATAAGCAAAGAGCTGCCATTTTCTAGGCAGGAGCTATAGGCAAACAGGTAGCTAGTGCATTCAAGTCAAGCAACCATGTCTGAAATCACTGGTACAGCAGCTAGATCGTGGAACCTAGGAGACTCAAGTTCAAATCCTTCCTTAGCCATGAAACCCTACAAAGTGGCCTTGGGCAGTCACCATTTCTTGATGACACAGGGTTGATGTGAGATTGAGGTTACCCCCTGGAAAACCACCTTGAGCTCTTTAAAGGAAAGGTGAGCTCTAAATGGGATAAATAAAAGAAAGGAAGGCTCGGGGTCACTAGCCAATCAGTCCTCAAAAGAACATGCAATTAACAAAACTTTACCATGAAAGAAAATATCACACCAAACACCAAGCAATTTGACCTGACATCTGGTCTGCCTGGGAAAAAGGGGTAGGGGGAGAAGGAAAGCATATAATCTCTGATTATGACAGGCCCTAGCAGAAGCAGAAGGAAAACCATAAGAGACTCTTTCTCAGTATTCCTACCTTTTTGAATTCATGGATGGCTTTCGGGGCCCATTATTTGGCTTTTAGCCTCTGGCTTACCTATGATGTTACTATGTCGAGCGTGGGCAAGTACACTTTTAACATATTTCTCCTTGCTCGACTGGAGGAGTTCCTCTGGGATGCATATTCGCCGTCTAGTGGGGAAAAGATGACAAGTCATTCCTACCTAGCAAGTGGTGTGAGAAAAGCAAATAACTGAGAAGCGTAGACAAAGAAAGCTACCACCTTACCATTGTTTGTTGTGCTCTGCAATTAATTGCCTGTTTGGGACCCTGCACTTCCAAGTTTTAGATGACTGAAGTCTCCTATATTTTTAGACACTACAGCCAAGTCACAGCAGGTGATGCTTGATGAAAATCTGTTTTGAGCAACAACGCTTTGAAATGTTGGCAGGGATGAGGCCACTTACCACCCGCTTTTCAGAATCTAAAGTTCATGGGTTGCAGATTTTTTCCTCATCAGAGCTGCACAAACATTTTTCTCAGTCAACTGTAAAATAGTGAGAACTTACTAACAGAAGCTGCTTATATGTTATGTAGCATTAAATGACCCGTATCATCCAAATCCAGCACCCAAAGACGTCAGCTATCACCTCCTAACTGAATAGCTGAATGTGTTAATCAAACTCCTAAGTACGCTTCAGAGCATCCCACATAATGGGGCTTTTCATTAGATCCATTGGTGTTCACAGTGCAAGAAGTCCCTCAGGCTTTACCAGTCGGGGGACAAAAACACCCAAAGCTGCGTAAAGTGTATGTAGATAATTGGGCTCAACCCGTACCCCCTCCAGGAGGTCAGGAAGCACACTAACATCTTCATAATTTGCAAGAGAATCTCTGCAAGGTGCACCAGTGAGGTTTAAAAGCCCCTCCGGGAGGCAGGAAAAAAATGACATGAGCAGTCCCACGCACATTCCAGCTGAGAGCAGCAGGTGGAACTGTGCCCCCCCCCCCCCCCCCCGGGGCAAACAGTCCTTTTTTGGTGGGATGCCAGCTTAACCTAGTTACATATGAGCTAAGATACACTGGGCCCATGCTCCTTGGACCACATGAGGCAGCGGCGTCAGCAGGCTTGAGAATCCACCTTGAAAAACGGGACCTTAAGGCCTTCGTGTGAGGGAACTTTACCCAAGCCTTAACCCAGGAGAGTGAAGAGGAACTGCCACACCAGCAACCAAGGAGCACAATTAATCTATTACATGAGCGTGCAGTTATATTCAGCTGACACAGAGACAGAAAAAGATCAGGTAATTCAAAAAAAGTCAAATTTTTAAGTGAGGATAGGAACTTGCAGATTTACACCCCTCCCCATGCATATCCAGTGCCACTTTCCACCCTACTGCAGTTATTCTGCTGCTGTTGTTGTTTAATTGTGGCAAGTATACTGCTATACAGTGATACACCAACTGCTGATTTTTTTAAAAGGCTCATAAAAAACTCCTCTGGCAGCATCAGATTGGAAATGGTGAGTACGAGAGGATGGGGAGGAAAAACCGGAGAATTACCCTCCATAGATGTTCTGTTGCTGCTACAAATGCAGAGATGTTACTTTACCTAGCAATGATAATGGGGGTGGAATCCCCCCCCCCTGCAGAAGCAGCCAAACTGCCAACACGGACTTTTGTCTCGGTGGACCCAGCTGGGACCAGATTCTTCCTAGAGAGATGACCTACAGTATACCTAAGGGTATAACAGGTATATGGAGACAGGTGTCTGAGAGGCTTCCTAGGGGCTGCCATAGTCAGCAAACAGGAGGTGACTGCCAAAAAACAGATGTAGTAACATTGTGATAAGAGGCACTCTCCTGGCAAAGGAGGAAGTCGGGTCCTAGCAACTGAGGCAAAAGGTGGCTAAGACTCTGGGGAGGGGGAACTGGAAGCAGCCCCAGGCTACTGTGTGCTTTCAGCACTACTATGGCAAATGTGCCATATTCGTCAGTGGCTTCCATGCCCACATTTAGGGGCAGGTAAGGATTCCGCCTTCTGAGTGGACACTGGGACATCTGGCCATAGGGAAAATCCTGTGGGAGGGAAAAGTACCACCCCCGCCCAAAGTATCAGGGTTAAGTATGACTTGCAGCTGCCAAAGACTCATGGCCCACAAAAGAGAAATGCCTAGATATTTGGCAGAAGGCCAGAGATGAGGTAAACTGTCTCTTCCCAAAGCGGGCAGAGCTCAGGTACCTATCAGACTATGGGTTAGGGCTGTGCCCTCTGAAGCCCCCCAAAGGCTATCACAAAGGGAATTTTAAAAATCTAAATATTCAATCCACCAGTCTGACTGACTGTTTCTGAGTCACCCAGGAGGTCCCTCCTGCCCACTTGGACATGGAACACCCAATTCAGTAATCAGCCATGTGCTTGCTACCATCTAGTGGAAGGCACAAAGACGCAAAACACTCCAAATCAATCCGTATCAGATTTTAGGAGTTCTGATTTAAAAAACAAAAAAAACAAAAAAAAACAGAGACTCAGAAGAGACCAAAACACCCCCTAAATCCCTGAGATTCATTTGCGCAATTGCTAGCAGCATGCCATGAGCAGAGAGTGCGAAAAGACAAGAATGTGGCTCACCAGGCCACAATTTACTTAGGAAACCAAGCCAAGCTGCACGTAATAGGGGAAGGCATTCTGACCTCCTGGAATCATCAGGGCTGGGGTCTTCAGGTTCTTCAGGGCTGGGGTTTTCTGGCTCTTCAGGGCCGGGGTCTTCTACAGGATCCTCATTTGGGGCAGTGATGGAACGTTCCGTTGCAACCTCTGTGGCAGAGTGCGATTCTCCCTGAGACTCACATGGTGGGTCACTTACACTTTCCCTTCCTACCTCACTTTGCTCTATGAAAGCCTGTCCCCCAGAGGGCCTGTTAGTCACCACACTAGCAAATTCACACTCGGCCCTTAACTGGCTCACAACTGGTGACTCCTCTCCTACCGTCTGAGTAGCTTCCTTATCCACTATCCCAGATCCACTATCCCCTTTCTTTAGGCTAAAAGAACTTGGCTCAATTGACATGACATCTCTAAGTCCAAGCCCATCTGGACTCCAACTGAGGCCCATTTTATTCTCAGAATCTACATTTGTGTTGCTTCCTCCCCCTGGATTTGCAGCGGCACTGTTGTGAGGAAGACTACTGCTAGAGGGGACTGAAAGGCCAGTCAGAGGGAGAGACTCTGGACTCACATTTGGGACCTTAGGAACACTCTGTTGCTGAGTGACTCGAAAAGGCACCTCAGCAAACCCACTGCCCACTTCTTTTACACTGAGCCCTAAGGAGATGTCACTTGTGGCTGTCTCCGGCTCATCTGCCAAAAGCCTCTCCTCATCTTCAAGGGTGCCACTGAAGGAGGAGTCAGAGGACTCCCCATCAGAGGGTTCCAGTATGCTGTCATCACAGTCTCCATTGGAAATCAGGGGATAATCCTGAAAACCTGCTATTCCGTTGCTTGAAGATGAAGGAATTGCAGTTGCCAGAGATGTCTTTTGAGAAAGGAAGGGTGAGCCACACCGCTGTTTCTTAACATCTGCTTGCAAGGCTTGTTCCCCCTCTTGAAAGTTGTCAAAGGGCCTCTTGTTCCTGGAAACTAAATCATTTAAAATAGTGACTTTAAGTTCATGATAGAGCCCGGAACGGCAGGAGCGGAAATACCTGCTTGCCATGCTTCTTCCCTCACTTCTGCACTTTTTATATGACCCCTCTGCTCTCCAGACTAGAAGGAGTTAAGAGATCCTACACTCAGCTTTTGCCAAAGGTGCTCTCAGTGGCCTGCAAAAAGAAAGCAGAAGAAGCTACTGAAGAAGTCCCAACACACTGAGCTCTCTTCCTGCTCCTTTTAATCATCCACATATCTAAGAAACCCATCTCACTGTTTTTTCCTCCTCTTTTTCCTCCGAGGTCTGCACTTACCTGGAAGTAAAATCAATTAGACTAATTTCTAAGTAAACACAGTGAGGAAGGGCAGACCAGTCAGAAAAAGCTGCCCACAAATATCCCTCAAACCCAAGAATTTGCTGCATGATGATTAAAAGAATATTATCTGTTCCAAAGCTTGAACTTCAGGAATTAAGCTTCAAGAACCAGCATGGCTAAGGGGTCTGTCTGAATCCTCCCCCTCCCTCAGAGGTGAAGCTATATTCTACAGCTAATACAACAAGGAGCCTTGTCGCACCTTAACAAATTTACTATGGCATAAATCTAATCTCCTCCTTTTTTGTGAGCTGGAGCCCAAGGGCCACAGACCCCTGCCTCAGGCTCTCACTCGCAATCTTTCCATTCTATAGCGGGGGTCAGTGTTCCCTCTAAGCTGAGTTAGTGTGAGCCAGCTCACAGATTTTTAGCCTCCAGCTCACAGATTTTTGTCTTCGCTCAGAAGGGATGGCTCCAGAGCAAACTAATTTATGCTGCAGCCAGATCACCTGCTCACAGTTTTAATGCCAGGAGCTCACAAAGTAGAATTTTTGCTCACAAGACTCCGCAGCTTAGAGGGAACATTGGCGGGGGTCACAGTAATTTACCAGGTTCTTAAACGAGCCTCAATGAAAATTGCTAAAGCACTGTGTAAAATTTAGGTAGCGGTTTTAAGCACACTTGCTAGGAAATAAGCCTTACCAAGTAAACTGAGTGTAAGTGCTGTAAAAATGACAAATAGCAACAGAAAGCAGGCAGAGAGATGTCTTTCCCTGCATCTCCAAACAGAGGATGGGAAATATGTTATTTTTCTTAATGCTGCTATTTGTCAACCAAAGCCCCCAGAAATATTCTTGCAATATTCTTCCGCAATTGTAACAAGCCATTCTCAAACTCTTCGCCAGACATTTGTGTATCTCACTACTTACACAGAAACAAGTGACAGAACCAAGCTTACATGACATAACCACCAGACACTGCAGAATCCATGAGCTCCAAGTAGTGTTTTTTTAAAATCTAAACATTAGCCCTGCCCTTGAAAAGTTTCAAAAATTTGGGGAATCTGGTATACGCCTGATACCCAGATAACCTTTTCATTGGCAGGTGCTACCTCTTGGTTCTGTAGATTACAGTGAAGAAACATCTTTTAGTCACAATCTTTCTACTAGTCTGGCAATGTAAAAGGCTCAGAGACACCAGCCACATTGGGATGGTACTGGCTATACACAGAAGAAAACCAGTCCATAGGAATAATCAGTTCTTCTATTGAGATTTTTAAAAAACTAATCAATAGCAGGCCAGTGTGCCAGAAAAAAATGCTACTAACCCAAAAAGATAGGGTCAAATATTGGATTAAGGTAAATACCATCTACACTAGTAGCTAGCTTGTTTAGCGTACTATCATCAAGTACAGGAAAACACTGGCTGAGAAATGAGTTAATTACCACCAAATTCTACAGTCTAGTTCTTCCACTACCCAATAGAAAAACCTTGGGGAGGGCTCATCTCCTTTTCCACAGCTGTTTTGGGGGTGGGAAGATTACAAGGAAGTAACCTGCACTTACTATCTAATGTATGGTTGTTAAAATCAGAAATATATTGCGCCAAATTTAACAGGTATACTTCTGAACAACTGTGCTTAACACTGAGAGCCTCATTTTGCTGGGGAGGTTCATTCTACCACCCTTATCAGTCGGCTGCCTGCCTCTTCCACATTCCACCCTTCCTTTTTCAAAACAGCAGGATACTACAAACAACCAAGCTAGTGTCACCCTAACCTTCCACATACATGATCATAAAACAAGGTGCTCTCTTATTACACCCCCTTCTGCAGGTTTCAGAAAATGCAGGCTTTGAAGCTGCACTGAATTATTCCTTAGGCATAGAGGTCTAACTCATATGGCTCCCTACTGCATGAAAACATGATTCAAAAAGTGCTAAATACTTTACACAGTCTCTGTGGAATAAACTAGTTTTGTGGGGTAGAAAATTTTCTAGGGCTTTAGTCTTCAATTGAACATTTTCCACTTCTAAACTTCATACACGTTAATAATTAATGAATGGATGCTATTGCCAATACAATATGAGGCAAGTTTGGCAGCTTCAAAGTTAGAAGAAAATCAAGTTGTGGGTTGATCTTACTGGCTCTGCAAGTCCCAATTAAAATCAAAGTTAGAATTCCTACTTGCATGTCTCTTCTCACATGGTACAGTCACCAGTGTGATATGCAACTAACAAGATGAGCCATTAACATCATGCTCTACTAAGGCCAATAGAAACTTTTCTGACTCAAATTCTTTCAGAAACCCAAAATCACTGGAAGCAATGAAGTACCTAACATGAAGTGAGTTAAATGAAAAAGAGGTCCTGCTGAAATGTAAAATGGGGAGAACACCAAGCAGCAAACAAAGAAACAAAAAAGATCTCTCTGCCTCACGATTTGTCATGCCTGCTTCATTAACTTTAGACAGTGGAAACTGTGGCACCTTCAGCCCTGCTCTTTGTTGGGGGGAAGGGGATACGTGGCACCCATAATCAGCTGCTGTTTTATATTTGCATGCAGTCGAGACAATGACCACACAGGAAGCAATTTTGATGAGCAGTTTCAGATGTGCCTAGGAGGAGAGAGAAGTGATCTCAGGGTTATGTTTCACTTTTTCCATTTTAAATTGAGTTTAAAGTCCTTCCGGCCATAGCAAACAAAACCAGCTGGATTTGAAAAGGGATACATGCTTAATGCACTGTCTTCGGGACATACCTGCCAAGTTCTTCTTCTAGATTTCCCTGGAACACTTTCATGTTGGGCTATACCCTGGATGGAATGGGCTTCTATGAATCCTACCCAACAGAAGTCTAAGGAAGTATTAAGATATCCCTGCTTACCCAAATCTTGCTGTGTGCCCCCCTCCCCAAACAGCAAGAACTGCAACTGATTGGGCAAGAGGGTGGGGGAGAAAGATAAAGTCTCTGGGGCTCTTTGATTCCACTTACTTTTAATGCAGGCTTTGTCCTAGCCTTCACACAGTTCAGTGGCAGAGAGGCTCATCTGCCCAAGTGTGTGTGGGAGGGTCTCAGCTCTTCCCTAAGCTCCCTCCCTCCTTCAGCTGCTGGTGCCAAGCCAGCCACTCCCTCTCACAGGTGGATGTGTGAAGCAGCAGGGGGACCCATTTTTTCCCCTCAAGGACTTTCCACAATTTTCCCCCAACATAAAATTTGGAAAATGTAAGGGAACACTGAAATCCCCCCAGGTGGCTACTACCTGGTAGACCCAGGCTTGCATCACCACTCTGCCATGGACGATTCCATTTTAGCCAGTGTGATGTAGTGGTTAGAGCTCCAGACTAGGATTTGGAAGACCCATCTTCACATCCCTACTCTGCCCTGTAAAGTCGCTAGGTGGCACACGTTCAGCCTAGCCTACTTCACAAGGTTGCTGTGAGAATAACGATGTATGTTGTTTAGTTTCCTCACTGGGGAGAAAGGCAGAGTCTAAATAAGTAAAATAAAAATACAAAGGGGCGGGTGGAGTACTCGGCTCGGAAACGTGAACCGTTGAAACAGCCCAGAAACTCACTGACACGCCCCCCCCCGCCCCCCTGCCGACTGGAATTCTCCCCGTATACGAAAGAAACCTACAGCACCACCCCGAACAAGCCGTTGCCGAACCCTCAGGCCATGACGACCGTACACTCTTCCCTGCCTCCTCCCGGAACACGCGCCCCCCGCTGACTCCCTCTCCCACTCACCCACAGCCGCCATCTTCGCTCCCCAATTGCCGCTGAGCTGGGGGAGGAGCTTGATCACAGCTGGCCAGGCCCCGCCCACCTCGGCTGCCGATCGAGGTTTTCGGTGCTCCGCTCGGTCCGCGGAGAGTAGGTGTCGCCGCTAGGCCGTGTAGTAGAGTGTCGAGAGCAAGGAAGCTGATGCAACTCGGCAAAAGCCTGTCGGTAAGCAGGTGAATGAGGGGAGTATTGTGGTGTCCGCGGACAGGGAAGATGAAGTGAAAAAGACTTCGCGACTAGGCTGCTCGGGAGCTCCGATTTCCTCTCCTGCCGTAGACAGTGGAGTGAGGTGAAGAGGCTGGTTCGTCTCTGGGGGTAAAGGAAGGCCTGACTGGGGGGAGGCCTAGCAGCCCCACCCCCGCTTCAGCAGAAGGAGCCTTTCACATTCCTGATATACGAGGAGGGGTGCCTGACTGAGTCCCCAAGGGGCGAGAAAGGTCCAGTTCCGGCAATCTGCACTCATTTTTTCTCCCTCTAGCTGTTTGTATTGAGGGGGGGGGTGTTTTGATTTGTGCTGCTAAAGCCTCCAATCATAGAATCATAGATGTTAGAGTTGGAAGGGACCTTGCAGGTTATCTAGTCCAACCCCCTGCACTCTGCAGGAGCAGTCGAAATCCTCCTTTTCCCCTTCCCCTACTAAGCAGGTCCAAGTCAAATATCCTAGGAAACCCAGTTCCAAGATTGGCTCTATTGGGCCCATAATCCCCCCCCCCCCCGGGGCCCCCCCCAGGAGCATTCATGAGGAGATTGTGGAGAAATCTGGGTTTCTTTTATTCTGTGAGGCTGTCTGTTCTCTGTGGCAAACGTGTATTTGTCTCCTTTTCAGTCTCCAGATTATTGTTGCTTGGAGAGCAGCTGCTGGCACAATGGGGCACGAACTGACTGTGCAGGAGAAGTATCATCTGATCACCCGGAATTTGCAGGTACTTTTGCTGGAAGGGCTGAGTGGAAGGCTGACATGGGTTCCCCATTTCCATAGGCAACATAGTGGCACAGAAACAGTCTGGCCAAATATTAGTTCAACACATTATAAAGTCTGCATGTCTCCCACGTGGACGTTCAACAGAATGTTCTGGGAGTTTCCTGTTGATAATTTAATACCTAGTGGTTTACAAGGAGGCTTGAGCCTCCTCTTCAGTGCTGTTTTCTGACCTGAAAAGGCCCTGGGGATCTGATCTATTTAATGACTACATGATATATATTTAGAAAGACAAGACTGCCAGATTGAGAAAGCAGAACAAAAAATTGAAATTTTGGAAACCTAGTGCAGGTCTAATAACCTGCATTTTTGCTGTTTATGACTCTGGTCGCTAAGACAATAAAGACAATAATAATAATATTGCTAAGACAATAATAATAATAACCAGTGTTTTAGATGCATACCAGAAGACTCTGGGAGGCCAAATTTGGAAGAGAGATTTCATGAACTGCTTCAAGATTATTTGAAGATATGTCCTGACCTGGATAGCCCAGGCAAGCCCGATTTCGGAAGCTAAGCAGGGACAACCCTGAGAAGTATTTGGATGGGAGACCTCCAAAGAATACCAGGAGGCAGAGGCAGGCTATCAAGCAACTTCTCTGAATGTCCTCCATGCCCTAGTAGGAGTTGCCAGAGGTTGCTTTGCCTTCCAGGCGCACACACACACACACACAAATGCAAAAATACACACACAAAAAGATTATTTGAAGATACAAGGAAATTTTCCGATATTGACCAGCTATTTAGCGTGAACTCAAGATTTGCATTCAGGAATCAGCTGCCCCAAGATACATTGGTTCAGTTCACTCATAAGAAAGCATGAGATGCAATACTAAAGAAACAAAGAGAATCTCCAGTTAAAGTAGCAGAAAAAGAAGTGCAGATCTTTCAGGATCTACCAAAAAGGAAAGATTTTGCCTTTCTTAGACAGATTTTACAAGAGTATCACTGGAAAATACCAATTGCAATAGAGGTATACTCGCCAAAAGAAAGGGAAGTAATCAAAATAGAAGAACAAGCCAAGGTATTGGCGGAAGAACTACAAGCGGAGGATTTACATAGAGGAACTGAAGGAAAATTTTCAAGCAACCCAAAGCAAAGTTCACCTAAGAGCTCAGAAGAAGAAACGGTTATGGCATCAACACCAGCACAAAATGGAAAAATTTAAAATAGTATCAGTAAATATTAATGGACTAAACTCTCCCACGAAACATTACAAAAATTTTCAGCCAGTTTAGAAAGCAAAATGCAAATATTTTATGCCTACAAGAAACTCACATAAAGAATAAACATGAACATATTATAAATAAAAAATAGGTAAAGTATATCTTGCTTCAGCTCTAAACAAAAAGTGTGGAGTAAACAACCCACGATTAGAAGTATTAGAAGAAATAAGAGAGTAGGAAGGAAGATACCTTGAAGATACCCAGAAGGAAGGTATGCATGCTATCAACAATATATGCTAAAGTTAATTTTTTTGATATTTTTTCCCAAACTATGCTATAATTTCAAGATAAAGATGTAATGGTTTTTGGAAACAAGAATGAAGTACTAGATCCAAAGAAGGATAGATCTAGGAATTCTAAACGTGAGAAACTGCCAAAGAACATAATTAGAAGACACCTGGAAGATCAAGCACCCAAAAGGCAGAGATTTTACATTTTTTTCTGATAGACATCAAATGTACTCAAGAATAGAGATGTGCTAGATATCAAAAAGTTAAGTAGTTTGGCAATGGAACAGAAAACTAAGAAGAAGGTGGGGACTAAATGATGCTCTTTTACTATAAGATGTAGTAAGCAAATGTGAAAAAGATCTGGAAGAATTTTTTAAAAATAAATAATACAGAAGGAATGTCCTCAGCTACCATTTGGGAAGCAAGTAAAGCTTTTATTAGCAGAATCTTATTAGCAGCTGATGCCAAGAAGAAAAGAGAAAAAGAAACCAAGATATTAGCAGAAAAAATCCAGAGATTGGAGCAAGAGCACAAAAAACTTCCAATAAAGACACTTTAGCAGAGATCAGACAATTAAAAAAACAATTAGACATGTTAGAAATGGAAGAGGTACAGAAAAAAATTAAAATTTCTAAAACAAAGGCATTTTGAACATGTGAACAAACCTAACAGATACTTGGCATAGTGTCTTAAGGAGAAAGAAAAAAGAGTAATAACACGTATAAAGAAATGAGATCAAACATGTGGAAAAAGAAGGACAGGAACAATTTATCAATGTTCTTTTAGGATTGTACAAAAAGAAGCCTCTGAACAGTCTGGTTTAAATCAAAGCTTCAAATCTACATTCATCTGAGGCACCTTTATTCTTTGGTCAGCAGGTCTAATTATTTACTGAAACCTGCCAATTCCTGACTTTTGGCATGCAGAAGTGCTTTCAATGGCATAGAGAGCCAAGACCAGTAATTGCTTCCCAGTGTTTTTACCTATGTCTGTGACGGTTCATGCCCAAGTCAGCCTTGCATGGTACTGAGTACAGAGACTGATGACCCAAAAATTCTCTGTGTCCTGCAGGTTTCTGGTGTAATTAATATTTTCTCATGGATTGTGAAAGTATCTAAGGGGCAAAATAACTGGAATACTGTTGCTCTAGAAAGTATTAGAATGTTGATTTTTCAGGATGATGATTTTCATTTAGAAGCAAGATTATTCCTTGAGGTAGAGCTTAATCACAGCTTGACCTTGTTTGGTTGCTTTGTCCTTGAGTGGCTGTGATAATATTTCACAGGGCTTTTATTGTATATTAGCAGTTTGCTTTTCCTGTAACACCAACCCATTTGTCAGCTTATTTTTAGCATTTTCAGTTTGTTCTTAATATTTGGAGGAAAGGTTAGAAGATGGGAAAAGCAATATGGGCAAATTTGTAAAAGTACACTAAGGTGAATGAGGGTTTTTTTAAAAAAAATAATAGATTATGTACATTCCATGTACTCTGTGTATTTGCTTTTCTGTGTGCCTTTTGTATATAAGACAATATGATTAAATTTATTTTTAAAAGCAGCTTGGACCATAATAGAAGTTGAGTTTTTTAATCACTAAGGGGCTCTCCATTAGGCTGGTTATGACTGAGAAAAATGTTGGTGGCCTTGAGCTGCATCTGTAAACTTCTCAGTACCCAAACAGAAATCTCTCTGTTTTCTATTCATATTTGAATAGCTGATCTGAGGCAGGGCATTCCTCTGTGAAGTATCACTGTGCGGGCCTCTCTACTGTGACTCTGCATTGACAGCGATAAAAAAAAATCTAGACTTTCATGGTTGTGCAGAATTATCTGCTTCCAGTGAAGGCTAAATGGAGCCTCCCCTGTAGATCCTTAACTTTGCATGAAACTTTTTTGGAAATAAATTTTTAGTTTGAATTTTTTTTAAAGGATACAGAAAGAAAAAAGGAACAAAGAAAAACACATAGGAAATATAATTACCAAAAACCTAACGTAAGGGCAATTTTACAGATATAGAGGACATTCCTTTATGCATGAAACTTGAATGACTCGCGACTTGAGAATTATTGAACTCATGCCTTACTCAGTGCTTTCTTCAGTTATTCTTATGCCCAGGACACCCACATCATCCGCCCTTGAGATGATGAATTTGTCTCTGTTTGCAGGAAGTGCTTGGAGAGGATAAGCTGAAGGCCATTTTGAAAGAGCGTGAGCTGAAGATCTACTGGGGGACAGCCACAACGGGGAAGCCTCACATAGCTTACTTTGTTCCTATGTCCAAGATTGCAGACTTCCTCAAAGCTGGATGTGAGGTAAGGATGGGCGTGGCGTGAGGCTTGGCTCCTTGGTTCTTGGCAAGTAGCACAGTGATGGAAAGGAGGTTTTGAGACAATTCAGAATCTTTTGTTCAATGATTCTTCACACTCCATGGGTCAGTGCATACTCGCAGTGTATGCACACATGCACCAGCATTCCTGTTGGTTAAGACGGGGCCACCCATTGCCAAGAAGGAGGCAGATGGTGCCTGCTGTCTCAATGCCTTGTTCCACAGAAGTAAAAGGAAAGGGGGTGCAATTGTGGACATGGTGGAGTGGGGGACAGACCAGCGTATATAAGGATCTGGGAGGGTCATCAGTGTCTTGGGAAGCAGGGGGCAATCTTTTCCCACTCTGTGTATCTAACATCACAGCTGGACAAATGCAGATCAAGCAACGATTGTTCCATTTTCCTAAGAGGCTGAGGAATTTTGGCTATGAGGCCACGCATGCTTTGACAGTGGTCTTAGGCACACATTGCTTGGAAGTACTAAGCCATTGGGGATTGACTGCAAATGTGGTTCCAGATGGGGGTGTGGTCTGTTTTGCTTTCTTCATTCCCATGCAGATGTTGAGTGTTCATTCAAGTGCCATTGCTGACACTGAGGTGTACAAATACTGGATTTAAATGCCCTTTGACCTCTCAAAAGGCACTTGGAGAAAGGATCAGAATTAGAGCTGAGGTGGAGGTTCTCAGATGTTTCCAAGCAGAGCCTAATTCTAAATTTATTCTTTTTCAGGACCCACATGAAAAGTAATTCTGTGCTGCTTTTCCTCTCCCCAGAGTAAAACAAAATTTCCCCAGGACAAGTGTAATAGTTAAAAATGAAAAATAATATATAAGATTAGTGAGCAACAGGCTGTATTTGAGGGCCATTTCACATATTATGCAGTGGCAAGTCCAGGTTAGCCATAGAGCTCCTCCCCGCCGAGCATTTTCTCTCCCAGCTCACCCTATTCCTCCCTCTCCCACCTGGTCTTGTGACCTACCTGCAAAAGTATCTTTGGTTCCCAGACCACAGTTCAGGAACTGCAGGGCTCAGGGGCATGAACTCAAGTGTGCTCATCTCAATCCTAGGTGACGATCCTGTTTGCTGATCTCCATGCCTACCTGGACAACATGAAGGCCCCCTGGGAGCTTCTGGAACTACGTACCCAGTATTATGAGAATGTGATCAAGGCAATGCTGGAGAGCATTGGAGTGCCTCTTGAGAAGCTCCGATTTGTTCGTGGGACCGACTATCAGCTCAGCAAGTAAGACTGTTGGGGGGGGGGTGTGACACACCACAAGGAATGATGCTTCTTTTAGCCAAGGGCAATCCCCCCCCCCCCAAATCCTGTCCCTTTAATATAGGCTTTTTTTTGCTAACAAGTCGCAACCAACTTATGGTTGGTTTTTACAGCAAGAGTCATTCAGACTTAGTTTGCCATTGCCTGCCTCTGTGCAGCAACCCTTGGGGGTCTCCCATCCAAGTACAACTGCTTAAGCTTCCAAGATCTGACAAGACCAGGCTACCCTGGCTTATTTAGGTCAGGGCAACAGAGGCTTAATGGAGTGTTATTTAACAGACAGTGTTATTTATCGTGAAAAACTTCACCTGCTCACTTCTACACATTAAGCCTTTGTTGAAGGGACAGGATGTTTTTCTCCAGGCCTGTTGGCAACCCTAGGCAGTGCTCATCCAATAGTTCTGCAGGCAGCATTTAAACTTATGTCATATTTCAGTCCAGTGTCCTGGGCATGAACCAAGGTCTGGTGGTACATTAACAAGACTCATATGCTCTCAGCTTCCCTTGTATGCTCTGACTTCCCCTCTTTCTTTTTTCCCCAGCAAACCATAATCTACCAGTTTGGCTGTAAAGACAAGTTGGTTTGCTGTGAAATAGGAAATCAGGGACAGAACTGAACTGTGCAGGGATGTTAGAAGATGAAAGCCTCTTGCTCAGATGCTGTGGTCAAATTGTGGCTTAGCCATTGTCCTGGGCCAGGGGGTTTCCTAAGGCAACAGTGTAAGCTGCATGACGGTGCTCAGTTCTGAGTGTGGGTTTCCCACCTCTCAGCACAGTGCTTTGTCCATTATGCAGAATTGTCTTTTAGCTTAATACAGAATCTTGGAAGGTTTAATAAGGCTTCAGTGCTTTAGGGCAATATGATAGTACAGGTAGAAAATAAGCCAGCAGGCCCTCTGACGTTGCTCCACTCATTCCATTGTTCCCATAATGCAACGTAATTAGATGTCAGCTTCCAGCCTTGTCCCAAGCAGCTGCCATCTGGCCTTCTGGTCAAATGTTGTGATGCACAGCCATGAATAGGAAGTGTTCACTGTAGGGAACTCGCCCATGCAGATTGCATGGCCCAAGATGGTCCTGCAAGCATCCCAGCCTGCCTTATGGGTAGGGCTGGAGATTTAACAAAGGCTTTGGCTGCAATGGTCTGGAATGGCACACCTGTTCCTTAGGGCAAGATTGATGGTTGCACCCTAGGTGAGCACAAAAGAACGAGTCTTTGAAGGAGACTGAGGGATATCCTAAGACACTTAGGGAAGGCGGTGGCACATCTGTAAATGTCTTTCTCTCTGAAATGCTGTTGGCTAGGTGGTTTGTGGAAGGAGAGGGCACATCTGCTCACAAGAACTCCCTGTTTTTCCTTCTCAGGGAGTACACGCTGGACGTTTACCGCCTGTCCTCTGTCGTCACCCAGCATGATGCTAAGAAAGCAGGTGCAGAGGTGGTGAAGCAAGTGGAGCATCCGCTGCTGAGTGGCCTCCTCTATCCAGGACTGCAGGTAGCTGATGGGGGGTGGGGCATCTTCACCCAGTGCCCATTTCCTGGAAAGGGTGTCCTAGAAACCACAAGGTTGCATGCATGTTGAGCCAGTTCATTAAATTCTTCCCATGTGGGGAAAAGAAAGAAATGTATGTGGGAAGAGGGGAGAATGGTTTGCAGATCAGGCATACATGGAACAGCCCCAGACATTGAGCATTCGTGGTGATTATTCCTCTGTGTCCTTGGTGTGGCAGAGGGAGAAGTAATGTCTGCTTCATTCAGCCTTGAGCCCTTGGGATAAAGGCTACAGCAAAATCTAACTAGGAAATGGATTGTGCTTGAACTAGAGGGTATTTGGTGCAATTAGTACACAGTGAGCTTACGATGAATTAATGCAATATTTGTTTTCCTTGTAGTTAAACTCTGGAACTTTCTGCCACAAGATGGGTGTGTGTGTGAAGTGTATAACCGGTTTGTAGATAAGCATTTCTCTGTCAGAAATCAGTTGGTGTGCAAGCCCTCTATTTTTGTGTCTCCGCAGGCACTGGATGAAGAGTATTTGAAAGTTGATGCACAGTTTGGAGGAGTGGACCAGAGAAAAATTTTCACCTTTGCAGAAAAGGTTGGCACTGAGGCTTGTCTTGTGTGCTCAGCTGTTCATCTGACTTGTCCGTTCTTGCCTGCCAGTCACAATTCAGTATCTTTTTTGGCCTTCTGGGCTGGCTCAAGCCATTCTGGTGCCTGAGGCAGGAAATCCAAAAGGCAGTCTATCCTCCCTCTCTCTCCTTCCCACCCCATCTAATTCAGGTGGGACAGGCCTGCTGGGAAGACTTTTTATGCAAGCCCTATTGAAATGAATGGGAGAAGCGCAAGATCAGGGGAGCCCCATGTAAAGGAGACAGTTTTTGGAAGTGGGGGGGGGAGCGGTATTTTGCAGGGAGTTGCTTCCTCTCATCTCCTTTCCTCCATTTGAGCACCAGGATCTCACAGCCCCTGACCTAGCTTGTGTTGTGCCTTTCTCTCTCTCCCTCTTTGTCCAGTGCCTCCCATCCCTGGGCTATGCCAAACGCATCCATTTGATGAACCCGATGGTGCCTGGGCTGACCGGCAGCAAGATGAGCTCTTCAGAGGAGGTTGGTTCCTAAACCTGGCTCTTGGCTGTGGTAACTAAATCCTACAGGGAGGAGATCTTAAAATGGGGCGGGGGGGGGGGTTGAATTCTCTAGGGCTGGGAAGGCCAAGCAGTACCTACAGAGAAATACTGGGTGGAGTAACCCTGGGGTAGCTTTTTCCCAGCTGAGGATCCATGACTAATAGTAGGAGTATTTTGACAATGGAACCTGTTTACTGGTGTGTGTGTGTGTGTGTGTGTGTGTGTAAGTGTGTGAGTAACTATCCTTCACTTGAGGATTTTCAAGCAGAAGCTCAACGGCCACCTGTCGAGAATGCTGCAGCTTTGGATATCCTGCACTGAGCATGGGGGTGATTAGATGACCAAAAAGATCCTCTTCTCATTCTGATGCTTTGATTTCATATCACACCATCCATTGAGCAATTTGAATCCATTAGAATTAGTCCATCTGCTTGTATTTGCATATGAATAAAACAGTGACTGCAAAATTATACTTTGCTTTTAGGTGATGCGTAGAACATGGTACACAGTCGGAAGCAATATAGAAGAGGCATTCTCTTCTGCATGGGAATGCCCCTTCTAAGATGGCACCTGCTGTCCATGGTTCTTATAAATATTTTTAATATAGATTTTTTTAACACTTGCACTGTGACTGATGAGAGGCACCTTCATATTGATCAGTCAAATATTTGATCAGCTAAAGATTGCAAACCCTACTTCTGAGTCCTTCTAGTCCTATGATTCCTCTGCCTCTTAAAAACTGGTAGACACCCCTGCCTCAAGAACAGCTCTACAACTTGTGGGCAATTCCAGGAGAATCCCAACTCCTCTTTCTTCTCTTTCCTAGGAGTCCAAGATTGATCTCTTGGACCGTAAGGAAGATGTGAAAAAGAAGCTGAAGAAAGCTTTTTGTGAGCCAGGGAATGTGGAAAACAACGGCGTCTTGTCCTTCATCAAACACGTGCTCTTTCCACTCAAATCAGGTGATGATCTCCAAGCATCCAAGGCAGGAGCAGGACAGGGTGGAGAGAAAAGTGTCTTGATTTGTGGACCTTGGTATGCTTAAGAGTGCTTGCCATTCCCCTGATTGACTGGGAGGCCCATCTCTCAATGATTACAGAGATGAGGGACCCTTTCTCATCTTCTTGCATTTCCTCCCTCTCAAGTATCTGCATTTGGGCTCTTTCTGCTAGCCACGGGGAGGAACAAGGAGGGGTATTAAGGTGGTCCCTGGAAATCCTCAACTGATTCATCTATGCTGCCTGCTGCTCACCTGGCTTAAAATATTTTCCAGCAGCCCTGAGAGATCATTGTTGGATGCCATCTTTGTTTTAATGTGGATCTCTCCTCTTTTTTGCCACCTGCAGAGTTCGTCATCCTGAGGGATGAGAAATGGGGAGGGAACAAAACCTACACAGACTATGGGGAGCTGGAGAAGGAGTTTGCTATTGAGGTGATGTCCTGGGCTGGGGACAGAGGCGGAGGCAGCTGCTGTGCTGTCAGCTTGCATGTGGGGGAGGGTCTGTCTTTGGACTGGTCACTTTTGCTTGAGCCTGAACTATCCTGCCAGGCAGGCTTTGAAACGTGATGGGGTGGGGGACACTGATATTCTGCTCTGTGTTTCTTGGCAGGGTCACTGCAAGCTTGTAAAGGCAAACTAAGATTCATGGGGGGAGGGGGCAGTGGCAGGGAGAGAAGCCGAGATCCTGAGGTTGGGTCTGGGGCTCCTGCTTTGCATCCGAGGCACATTATTTCTGTAGTCCTAAAGTATGCATACCAGAGGCATTTTCCTAAAACTTTTCTGCATCTAGTTTACACAATATATACTTTCTGCCAACTTATTCTTTATATAGTGACACACATTAAACTCCTTATACTGAATCAGACCATTGATCCATCAAAGTCAGTTTTGTCTACTCAGCCTGATAGCAGCTTTCCAAGGTCTCAAGCAGAGTTTTTTCGCATCTCCTCCTGTCAGATCCTTTAATTGCAGATGGCAGGAATTTAACCTGGGATGTTCTGCATGTCAATCAGATGCTTTACTACTAAGCCACGGCCCCTCTTAGACATCACTGTTCGTGATGCCATGCAGACTGCAAGGAGATGGGTCCTGTGCCAAAGAGCTTACAATCTAAAATTTGCCATAAAGAATATGGGATGAAGGTGAAGAAGGCTGTGATAAACAGAAGAAGAATATGCCTTGACTGGACTTCTAACAATGTCCATCTTAACAGACACCTTCCTTAGGGCTGCCGTCCTAGGGAAAGCTCGTTGATATGAGTGGCAGCCCCACTGTGTGCTTGTGCCCCTTCCTCATTCGTTTCTTTGGGGTTGTATCATACAGAAAACTGCTGCAATCTATAAATCAAGTCAACAAACGTCCATGGGATTGTCAGGCCTTAATACCTGGGGACTGACAAAAGGGCATTGGAAGTTCACAAGGGTGTGTGTGTTGGGGAAGGTAATATGTAAACAAGGGGGGAGGGACTAATTGGATCTCTGCTTCCCTTCTCTGCAACAGATTGTCCATCCTGGAGACCTGAAGAACTCTGTTGAAGTGGCTTTGAACAAGCTCCTGGAGCCTATCCGGGAAAAGTTCAACAGCCCCCAAATGAAGAAACTGGCCAGCTCTGCATACCCTGATCCCTCCAAAGCTAGTAAGGGTAAAAAGGCACTTGCAGGTTCCTCTATTGCAGCAACTTCTATGGGTGGGGAGCAGGAAGTCCTCTTTGAGGTTCCAGACTTCCAGCCTTCTCTTCTTGCCCTGGCCATTAATGAAGTCATGCATGATGAAACAGACGGTCCCTGAAGCCAACATGTCAGGATTTGAAAGAGTGGCGTTAACTGCTTACACAGTGTGGCTCTCTCCTAGGTTTTGCCTGGGTAGACCTTGCTGAGGACCCTGCCTGCACTGCAGATGCCTCCCTTGTTCTGGTCCTCCTTTTTGGGGGCTGCCCAATTAGCAGCCAAGGAAGGCAATCAGATGCTGCTTTTGTAGTTTTCCTTCCGATTTCGAAATCCAGTTCTGGGCACCATTCCGCCCAGATACTTTTCTCAAGAATTTGAGTCACATGCTCCGCTTCATCTTCATGCCTTCCCAGCATTCTAGGGGAAGGGGAAAAGGGAATTCTTTGTTCCTCCCTTCCTTGATCTGTGTCCCACCTTGTCTTTCTTTCCCCTTTTATTTCCTGCCTCCACCCAGTCTGGTACTTTGTATTATTCTTGTGTACCTCATATTCTGCAGTTCCTAGGTGGTCTTCTGTCTAGGTTGCTTATAAACCTCAAGCCTTCAGAACTTTTTGTGTCAATACAATCTCCCCAAGAGCTGCTCTCCTTCTCCTTGTATACAGAGCCTGCCATCAAGGGCCCTGTGAAGAACTCTGATCCTGAGGAGGTGGTGCCTTCCCGGGTGGACCTCCGTGTGGGAAAGGTGCTCAGCGTGGAGAAGGTAGGTGTCCAGGCATCACCGCTTTTCTATCTCCTGCCTTGGAATGATCGCTGGGCTCTGTCTTCAAGCCAATGAGAGAATGAAGCATGTTTGCAATACTCACGTGTGCCCCCTTCCCCGTGCCTGAGCCTTGACCCTGTTTTCCTGTCCTCAGCATCCTGATGCAGATGCCCTGTATGTGGAGAAGATTGATGTGGGGGAGCCTGAACCACGCACTGTGGTCAGTGGCCTGGTGGAATTCGTGCCCAAAGAAGAGCTCCAGGATAGGCTGGTGGTGGTGGTGTGTAACATGAAGCCTCAGAAGATGAGAGGGGTGGAATCCCAAGCCATGCTGCTCTGTGCCTGCAGGTGGGCTGAGAAAGAGGGCCGGGGCAGGGTGGAAAAGAGCAGCACTGCAAATGGACTTGGGTGGGGCAGCAGAGACCATCTCTGTACATGCGCCCAAACTGCCCTCTTGGCTGGCACTTTCACCCAGTCAAGCAAGATGGGGCAGTAGGTGAGGGGAGGTGGTGGTGAAACTGGCTCACCTTTGACGCCTTCTAAACTGATTTTTGGTTGTTCTCTGCAGCAGCGGGGAACCTTCCCAAATAGAGCCCCTGGACCCCCCAGCAGGCTCCTGTCCCGGGGAGCATGTGTTTGTGGAGGGCTACGAGAGTGTCCAGCCAGATGATGAGCTGAAGCCCAAGAAGAAGGTCTTTGAGAAGTTGCAGGTAAGGAGGTCCTCAGTGCTGGACACCCGAGTAGCCTGTGGCTGATGCAATCTTTCCATGGCTTCAGTAGGCCAAGCTGTTTCTTGGTGGTTGTCATTGACTGAGGATCCTTTGGTAATCCAGTATGGCTCTTGTGTAGCATTCACTGCAGGGCAGAGGAAGAGACCTTCAGGGTGTGTGGACTGGGGGAGGGCTCCTCGTGTCAGGTATCCCAATAACTCAGCACCAACACTCAGGACCTAAGTAGGTTCAGTTTATTGATCAGAGTAAAGGACACTCCATGAACTTCTGTGTCAGGAATAACATAAAATGAGCGGGCTAAGCAGTTATACCCCAATCATACAAGACCCCCTGATGAGCAGAGGCCAATGAGCAAACACCTGCAAGCGCGGGGGAAAGCTAACGGACCCCGTGAGGGCGGGAGACCAGCAAAGGGGGCAGATGAACCAGGCACTCAAGGCCACGGAGAGATAACAAAGCAACAGGGAGAAGACAGCTACAGGGAAAAGCAGGGTGGCAAAGCGCAAGCGCACAGCCCACACATTCCATCACATTAGACATCCCATGGCGGTGTCAACCGACACCTAGTACGTTTCCAGAGCTTCCAAAATATATATCAGGGTATAATGTGTTTCATTTGAAGAAGAAAACAGATTGCAAGGCATGGCTTCTCTTGGAGCTGGTGCAGAATCTGGAGCACTGAACGGAGAGAGACATGCACAGCATCTTCCTTGCTGTCTTTAAATTCTTTCCTCCAAAATTAGGCCATGAGGTGGTTCCAGTGGTGCAGCTTTAAGGCCAGGGCTCCCCTTGCCCACTGTGGGTGCCTGATGTGGAGCCAGGAAAAGCAGAAAATAGTTCTGGGCCATTTGCCTTGACCCTGATTGTTCTTTCGTCTCTTCCTCTGACCTCCGCCCCCCCCCCCCCCCCCCCCCACAGCCACCCAGATTTCTAAGGACAGCACAGCTCAGTGGAAGGGAAAGAACTTCATGACCAAACTGGGGAACATCTCATGCAAAACCCTGACATGCGGCAGCATCCGCTAAGACTTTTTGCCTGCCCCTTTCACCTGTTCCCTGCCTCTTGCTGTCCATCGATCACCCTACCCATTGAAGGATTAAATTACCGTCCATCAGTCAACCACAGCTCTTCCTTGGTGTTCCCAGCCAGAGGGTCCCTGCCAAGCTGCATCAGATCTGTGGAAATTTATGGCTTTGATGTCAACAGAAAGTGATTGGGGGCACACAGATGGAACCCTGTTAAAAACGAGTATGTCTAAAGAAAGGAGGCACTGTATTTTCTGGACTGTGGGGGCTAAGGGAAATCTTCCCCCTTAAAGTATTCTAGAAAGGGGGGGGAAGGGGGTGAAGAAGTAGAGAGACTTCCCAGCCCTTTAGTGAACAAGCGGTGACAGGAGTGGAGGTGTATGGTCATCTGTCTTCATTTGTGCTCCGTCCTGGCTATAGAGCAGCTGCTTCCTTCCTCTTTTAAGTTGCTGCTGCTGTCTAGCTTGAACCCAGGCTGGCAGATCAAGAAGGGGAGAATCTCTGTTTAGCAGTGGTTTGGATTTCTCCATGATAAATGCCAAATTATAAGTAATTTATTGTTATCTTCCAATAAAATGCCACACCACAACTTCTTGTCTTTCAGTAGAGCTCACTTGGCTTAACAGGGCTTGTAGCCTTCTGTGATGGCTAACTAGTTTCTAAGGAAGCGGTCTCAAGATCGTTCTATTAGGACCAACCCACAGTATCTTCCAAAACTAATCTTTTGAGCTCTGGTGGACTCTTCAGGTTGGATGTTCAGAATAAAAGGGAAAAGAGCCAGGAGGAAGAAATGGTGTTTCAAGGAATGGCAAAGAAGTGCCCAGTCTGCAGTTCATAGGGTCTTAAAATGGAATGAAGTGTGTCCTGCATGTATACTTGGATTGGATTATGCTGGGCAAGAGAGAGTCAAACTGGACATGATGCTGGAATTCTGCAACCACCAGGTTTAAAAATCATACCTTATAGTAGTGATGGCGTACCTTTTAGAGACCCAAACTGCGACCCAAAACCCACTTATTGATCGCAAAGTGCCAACACGGCAATTTAACCTGAATACTGAGGTTTTACTTTAGAAAAAACCACTCATACATTAACTTAAGATGATCCAAACAAAGTAAGGAAAGCAATCCCAAATGCTTTCATTTACTTAAAATTATTTGGCAGAGAATTCCACACTTTAATGACGGTCTGGGCCTGGCTGGGGCAATGGCACATGTGCCCACAGAGAGGGCTCTGAGTGCCACCTCTGGCACCCATGCCATAGGTTCGCTGCCACTGGCCTATAGACACACACCAGGCAGGCTGCTTTAAACACCCTAGTGGGAAAAGATAAGTATCCCTTCGGATTGGACACTGGTGTATGGGACAGGAAGTAGAGTTAACTTCTCCAGGGTCCTTGTCCAACTTTCCTCTCCGCCACTTTTCCAGATCTGGATTCTACATGTGGTATCCAGTCATAAAAACAGAGTAGCCTCTCCTCCACCCCTACCCAAATCCCATTTAAAGATCCTCCTAAGAGTTGAAGAATTCTTGACAGCTAAATTCAGCTATTCCCATAATAGACAAAATAAAAAGGCTTGAGCACGGCTTGTTCTTACACAGGAAAACATCTTTGCAAAGTGAGAACTCCTTGTAATTATTTCTAGAAACGTGACCCCTGTAGTAAATGAGACAAACATTAAACCACTGAAGTTAAAAAAAGAATTTTTGGTGACACTGTCTTACAAGGCATATTCATTTTTATTTTATTTTTTAAAAGATAACTTTCATCATTGGGGGAGAGATTTTATTATTTTTTTTAAAACCCTCTATTCCGATGAAATTAATTCATGGATTACTGATAAAATATGTCAGTAGTTGGGGATGCATGTGTTGAGCTGCTTTTGAAGGCATGGTTTATGTCTCTCCTGCACAGGGTGGGAATTCAACTGTTGAAGCCCATCTCCCTTATAGCTAGGGGTGAGGCAGAGCCTGAAAGCCTTCTAAATTGCAACTCAACCTTGTTTGATGGTCAGGGCATGCGGAAGTGGCTCCTTCCTGGGGCAGGCGAGTTCCAGCTCTCCTTTCCCTTTTGAAGGCTTGTCTTTTCTCACAGAACTTCCACTCATCCCTACCCACCCTCCAACCCACTCCCCAGGAAATAGGATGCTGTAGCCAACAGTAAAAGAGACAGCAAGCAGGCTTTAATCATTCATCTTTACAAAGATAACGTCTTTTAAAATGGAGTTTGCAATCCTCTTAGTCCTCCCTTTCTCAAAGGTAGTTTTATTTATTTCCTCTTTTACAATCATGGAAATCAAAGCAAATGACCCCAGGATTTTTCAAAAGTATAGAAACCTGTCATCTAATGTTATTAGAGAACAGAAAAAAGGCGCAAAGGGATTGGGGAGGAAATATCAGAGGTGTTTGGTCTCACTTCTAAAATGCTTTTTATCCAGCAACGAGGCTAAGCATGCTGGAGGTTCTCTTCTGTTGCACCTCTCCTGCCTTCAAAGCATGGAGTCTGGTCTAGAAGAACGGCCTGAGTGAAGGGAAAGCCCCTCCACCACGTGTGACATTCCCACAGCTGCTTCGGCTTCTACCAGGTGGGTGTCTGTCTGCCAGCAGGCAGCCAAGAATATCTCTTCCTAGGAAAGGGCCCCCTGGCAGGGCTTGTATTCTCAGGCACGCTTGGTAAGACAGCAGCATCAAGGGGGAGTCGGAATGCTGAGGATTTTTTTTGGTAGGGCTGCAATCCTAAATTCACCCTTAAGAGCAGGGCAGTTTGGATGGTTGATGGGGAAGAGTAAGGGGCCTGAGAGCAATCTCTTCACCAGGCTGAGTGCCACCCAAGGGTATCAAAAATGAATGGGCAGCAGTTGCAACACCTGGGGTATCGCAAACTATCAGCACCCTTCAGAGCAGTGGGCTTCAAACTGTGCTTGGGAATCAGCCCTGTTTTGAGACTTTCAAAAGGCATCTCATTGTGATCTCCTGTCTTCATGAAAGAGTTCAAATCTGATCCCCAAAGGAGCAATCCCTTCCCTCCACCAGACATTTCAGTCTCAGAGGATGCAATAGAACTGGATGCATGAAAGCCAGCAGAGGAAGGATTGGAAAAATTCTGTGCATTTCTATATAATCAACTGTTCTCCTCTCCCCACCCCGGCTCTATCTCAATTTGTGCTATAACAGAAGCCATGTTCATAAGTTACACAACACACATACATCCTGCCTGTACTTGTGCATATCTGCAAGGAACAGTCAATGTGCATTCACTTTACAAATGAAACCGGTGCCTAGATAAATGTGCAGCTTCAATCACATGTTCAGCTGTACATGCACTGAATGTAACATGAGAATTATTCAATGTGTGTGTCAAGAAAAATCAAGTGTACACCACACATGGATTGTACATGTGTTCACTGTGACTTGTGAACAGGCCTAGACTTGGAGCTGGGTAACATCCCCGAAAATCAGCTACTTAGGACAGATTTGCAAAAACGAATCACAGGTGTGCTTTACACTTCACAGCACTGTTTTCCACTCAAATGCCAAGGCTAACCAGCAGGGCCACCAGAAGCACATTTGCAAGTCCGTATGATGTAAGCACTAAGGATCGGGGCCTAAGCAACATCCTGCAAACTGAAGCAGGAGTTCTGTTACAGCTGTCCTTGCTGTGGTTACAGTCTTGCTTTGAAAAGTGCTTTTGTTTCATACAATTCTAGGTGCCTAATAGACTGTTTCCCCCCACTCCTTGCCAGTTGACAATACAACCCCCCCCCCCCCAAGAGAAATGGAGCATTCCTCTGGGAAACACACCACGTGGCTTCAACTTCGCTAGTCTCTCCTCCTGCAGATGGTAGAGGGAGAAGGGTTCTTTTCTCATGCACGCACACACACACAAAAACCCTCCAAGGGGAAGATCAAAGGATGGGCACACCAGCAAACCGAGCCAAGGAAGTCTGTTCAAGGCTCTAGCTCTCCAGACTTTGGGGGTGGGGGGAGCAGTTGGAAAGTGGTATGAAAGTGGTAAAATAAAGCTGTATGATTGAAGAAAGTGAAACCAACACAATTTTTGCATAAATATCAAGGCCTTCAGAGGCTAAGGCGGTTCTTCTTCCTCCCTGCCACGTCTGGGATCCTCCTCCGGCCTGCTTAGGTCCCTGAGATTCGGTCTGTGTTTTGTTTTTAATTCCTGTATCTTGGGGTGGTGGCAATGCAGGCTCTTCCCTTATGCTATCTCCTCCCATATGCCTGCAAGAAGAAGATTCAAGTCAGTGTGGGTCCCTGGAGGATAGGAATTGGGAGCATGAGACCTGAATTTGAATTCTGCTCTATTGAACAGCTTCTACCTCTCAATCTGACTGTTCTGCATGCTCAAAATAAAAGAAGTTATATCACCAGTCAAGCTGGAATTCAAAATATATTCAAACTAGGAAAAAGGCCCATTGTGGAAATAAATACAATGGCCTCTAGAAAGAGGCTCTGGGCGCGTGCCCCGGCCTTGGACACTCAGTGTCAATTTGCTGTGGCGACCTCAGCAGGGTATAATGACACTGAGTCCACCATTTTCTCCAGAGGAACTGATCTCTGCTACCTAAAGAACAGTTGTAATTTTGAGTGATCTCCAGCCCTCACCTGGAGATTGGCAACGATGGTTCCCCAGAAGGGACCAGTTGGTTTGGAGGGTGGAGTCTATGGCTTTGTACCTGTCCGAGGTCCCACGCCTCCTGAAACCTCACCCTCTCCAGGCTCCATCCCTCACATCTCCAGGAATTTCCCACCTGAAGTTGGCAACCGTATCTCCTTCCCAGCCAATAATCAACCTACCTTTATTTCCCCCTCACTCTTCAGCTTTCCACCCCCCACACACCTGCAGCCTCTCCCGTGCTCTGAAGCCCTGACTGCTACATTACATTGGCTGTCATACGGGGGCCACCTCAGCAGCTTATAAGGATACAGAGCCCACCATTTTCTCCAGGGTAACTGATCTCTGCCATCTGGAAAGCAGTTGTAATTCTGAGTGATCTCCAGCCCTCACCTGGAGATTGGACACATTTTACCTCAGAACAGCAAAACGGTTTAGAATGTTAGAGGCAAAAGCTAATCAAGTCGCATATTCAAACAACCTCTGTGTTCCGAGGCAGAGGCCAATGAGGCTGCATATGCAAATAACCTCTGTGTTCTGACTGGCTATGGGAGGGTGAGGAACAGCAAAATGTTTAGAATGTTGGAGGCAGGACTCAGGCAAAGCAGCCAGTGGATAGGGAGACCCTCTGAATGACAGATCAGATAGCGAACTGATTTTGGAGCATGTGGAATGTTCTAGAGAAGTGCCACCACCATTCGGCTTTTATTTATAAGGGAGATGCTGGAAGTATCCACCAAAGCCACAGCACACACAGAGTCTGACTCCTAAGCATAGCGAGCCCCCTTCCCTTCTAACTGAAAATGGCCCTTTAGGGCTTGGCTGAACTGTGGCCACCCTGTTCACATCCTGCAGACAGAAGCCTCCACTTTCAGCATTCTGATGGCTCGATCATATGGGAAATTTCCACTAACAAAACAGGGAGGAAATCTTTGCAGAGGGTTCCCCCTGTGCTATAAAAACAGCCTTTCAAGGGGACAATTTGCCCTGTAGAAGGAGAGGTGAGAAAATACTGCTCCGCAGATGGAAATCCCTTCTGTCAGCAGAAATTTACCACAGGATTGAGACCGCTGTGCTATTGTAATAATTCACCTTCTGAATTTTCCAATAGTATCCTATTGAGGGAATGTGTGTGAAAAGAGGTGAAATGTTCGCCTGATGAGCTAATCCTGCTTTCTGCTGCTGGCAGTGCCATTTGACTCCTCTTATTTAACAAAAAAACTGCCAACAATGACTGCCGTCATTCTGTTTTGGCCTCCCAGTGACACCATGTAGCCAACAAGATTTGGCTACAGATGGGCTATGGACTGACACTTCATATCCTTGTGCTTAAAAGAAGAAAAGGAAAGGTGAAAGGCAGGAGGTTTCTACTTTGACACACACCTTCTCCCAGCCCCTCTTTTCTGCCAAAAAAGAGAGCTAGAATGTGGGAGGATAGCTGGATACACAAGATCCAACACTGGAATGGTTCCTCACAACAAATGGATAGCTGTAGTAGCCCCACACGAGAATCAATATGACACACTGTTGTCCCCCTGCAACGCCCCCAGCCCCACCACAAAAGTCAACCCTCTCTCACATTTCCAGCTCTTGAAGAGTTAAAAGGGAGAAAGGAACACTGGCTCTTGATCTCTTAAGAAAGCACTTCTGCCTCAGGAAAAAAAAAATTCTGTCATAACCATGAAGTGATGAAAAATACAAATAATAAACAGCACAGCAAAGAATTCTGCCATAACCATAAAGAAATGAAAAATAGAAATAATAACAATTCCTAATTCAGTCTGTTTAAGTGTAATAGAGGAAATGGTGAGGTAATTTTTAAAAATTATTATCTCATTTCCACTGCACTCCTGAGCGCATTTTTATTTTGGGAAGACCACACTCTTGGTTGTTCTATGGGGAATCTCCCGGATGGCACACTGAGCCTATTGCAAAGCAACAAGGTCTCCCTGCTTTCCAAAATTCTCTGAGGCTCAGCATGACTTAGGAAAACCCCTGGCACTTCTTCTGGCTGGGGAGGGTGGGAGAGAGAATGGGAAAGGCAATTTGCTTCACCTGTACTAAACCTAAGAAAGGCTTGGAAAATCATGATGTCGCGCACAGCTTTCAGTGCTTCAGGGCCAAGACTAGCCCCAAGCACATCAATTGATTTAATTTTTTAAAAAAATAGGCTTTCAATTTGCATTTCAATTCAACAAAGAATTAACCTTTTTTAAAACTCAGTGTGGAATGTAAATAAAATGGGGGGAAAGGCACATGCAAAGGTTAAGTGCAAGCAAGGTGAATCAAAGAGTAATTGTAACCAGATATACTCAGAATCCTACTTGGGTCTGTTCAACAGGACTTACACCCAGGAAAGCGTTTGCAGGACTGCATTATTTGCAGCATACTTTGCCAGTCCACCCAGGGGTGAGTGGTGCTGTAATTCAAAGTCAGAAACCCCTTTGGGTTTCAGGCAGAAAAGTCAGAAAAAATAGCCATGGACTAGGTCTTTTGAAATGATGGGAGAACACTTTGGAAACTGCTGGAGTGCAAGTCAGCAGTGGTGAAGTCTCTGTCGTACCTCAGTAAACATGGAGACCACTCTTTTTTGTTTACTGCTTCTCAGGATGGAAGAGCTGCAACCCTAACAACAGCAGCAATTCCAAGCAAGGGGCCAGCACAGCACCTACACCAAATACCGGCATGAATAGATTTTAAGAACAGTGACCTGAAAAATCTGCTTTTTTTTTCTTTGCTCAATTAAAAAAATGTGTAACATTCAGCTTGATGAAGAGTTCTGGTGAGCTTGAAAGGTTGCACAATGTTCTGTGATAGAAAGCTAGGAGAGAAGGAAATGTCATCACATCTCAGAAGCTAAGCACGGTTGATACTGGGATGGGAGTCCACAAAGGAAGACTCTGCAGAGAAAAGTGTTGAGGATCTGAGACCCTTGTTCAGTTCCTTGTTTTCTCAAATACTGGTTCAGGCCTGGTTCTGGCTCTAGGCTGCTAACTGAGTTGAAAAGTGGGAAAGAACTTTGTTGCTGGGAAGATTCAGCAAAGCTGACCTCACGACTAGAGAACACCCAGATACAGAGAAGGAAGCTTCAATCTCTAACTCCCTTCCAAGGCGGAAGCCATGACACCATGGTAACCAATTAGCCACATTCCATTCAATTATATATCATGATTTGCACCTGTGGGAAATGGTGAACTAGATTGCAGCTCAAGTCACATGCTTAGTAATAGCTCATACCATCACTGACATCATTAGCCAAGGTCCTGATTGGTTTAAGGGCAAAACCATGTTGGATCATTTGGTTTTAAGTGTTAGTCTTTTCAATTAGCAGCTGGCAAGGTATAAGCAGCCTCTTGCTCCTTGACTTTGGGTGTGTTCTTTGAAACCTGCTTCAGACGTATTAGACCAGGGGTGTTAAACATCCTGCCCCTCCATGGCTCCTATCCATCTGCTTCCTGCATCGCAGCTCCTTTTGCCCAGTCTCTCCTATTTTCTGCTTCGCAGAGGAAAGAAATCCAAGCCTCCCTTCCCTTAAATGGTTGAGGGCTCCTCCCCCTCCTCCTCTGGGGAGGGAAGGGGAAGGAAAGAGCCACAGAGAGAGAGGAGAGAGAGAGAGGAGAGAGAGAGAGGAGAGAGAGAGAGAGAGAGAGAGAGAGAGAGAGAGAGAGAGAG